CCACCGGTCACCAACACGCCGCACGTCTTGGACGCCGCCCGACTCTCCAGGCAATGGGCGATCTTGGCAAAGGCCCATTCCCGGCAGTAGAACGGCTTGCCGCGAATCAGGCAGTCCATATTTCTCTCTTTCCTTCTCTGATTCTCTATTTAATTACTCTATTTATTTATTTATTCTCTCTCTCTCTCTCTCTCACACAGCTGACGACTTCTTTGTATTCACTAGACGTTCCTTCCTACTCATGACGAGGCATCATCTTGTTCTCGATCGTCATGACTGATGCTGACGACGACGACGAAGACGACGAGTTTTTCTTCGTGGCCTTTTTCCGGGCTAGCGTATCCAAGTCGTTCATCCAATCTACACACACACACGCAAATTTAAAAGATAAAAAATAAATAAACACGTGTTCAGCCATCATTTTTGTCAATAGTACCGGGGAATTATTGTGCATAAAGTATGCATAAACTGATCGAGTTGATGAGCGAAGCAGGAGTTGGGACGGGACAGGGGCAATCAAATACCATCAGCGAAATAAGTAACGTACTGTACTTCACAAAAAATACTGTACCCAACAAGGACCTATACCCGAGTATGAAGCGTGACACATAAACACACACAAAAATAATAATAAAAATTGCAATTACAGTACATTTGTAAGATAACGTGAATATCTCAGCCATACGGAGTCTGAAACAAATTCACGTAACCTATATGAGTTGGTAAATCATGATGTAGATGTCGCTAGAGCAGAGGAAGTAGCTGCTACTCCCACCCACCCGTGTTTTGGTGTAGTCCCACCCAACACTGTACATTACTGTACAACCATAATGGTGAATGAAATATATGTCTCACCTGGGATTGCTCCTCTTCTTTTTTCTTTCCTTCTTGCCTCACACTAGCTGACATCAGCACACATGCAGCAACAATAAGTAAGTAGAGCACAGTGCATTCATTGACACAAACACACTCAAACACATAGGAAGAAGCAACTCTCTCCCTCTCTCTCGACACTGGATTTCCGTTCACGACACCGCCGTCGCGACGCTAAATCGCACCGAGATACTGTATTGTTGCTAATTTATAAATGCTCGCGATTCTCTTTTCGGCAGGCTGATTTTCTCTCGCTGTGTCTGGAGAGAAAACAACTCCACGCCGACACTGTCGCTCGCAGTCGCTGATGGAGAAAACAAGAATATATAAACAACGCATTTGTTTCTGCTGGTTCCAAAATTCGCTGCTGCTGGCTAAAGTAATTTTTTTTTAATCATGTACTTTACGGTAATTCCAGAGGGGAAATCCACGAATGCTTGATTTAGCGAGCATTAAAAAGGAAATACCGGTACTATAGTTGAATAACCGCGATGCATCAATCCTTGTACGCGGTACAATAATAATAATACTGTAATATAATGA